CGTTCAGCAAAATACAACCTGGAAATGTTAGTTACATGGGGTCCTATGGAATTTTTACAGTTGTGATAGAAGAGCCTAATAACGTATAAAATCAAGGTCAATGTGCTCAAAATTTGATACACTAAAAGTGAGTACTAATATGAAAAATTAATTGCTGAGCATAAATCTCCAGTTTCACTTGGAAGAGTGTCACTCGCTTTCCAGTGAATGAATTATAATCCTGGCTGACCTTTGTAAAATATCCTTTGATGAAATAACAACATAAAGAGTGTTACTGTGCTTGTTATTACCATAACTATTAATGAGGCTCATAGAATCACAGAATGTCTGGGCTGGAAGGGACCTCCAAAGGTCATCTAGTCCAACCCCCCTGCCATAGGCAGGGACATCTCCAACTAGATCAAGCTACTCAAAGCTTCATCCAGCCTGATCTTGAATGTCTCCAGGGATGGGGCCTCCACCACCTGTCTGGGCAGCCTGTTCCAGGGATCTATCACCCTCATACTGAAGAATTTTTTCCTAATGTTTACCCTAAATCTGCCCTTTTCTAGCTCAAAGCCATTCCCCCTCATCCTGTCACTCCAAACCCTTGTGAACAGTCCCTCCCCTGCTTTCTTGTAGCCCCTCTCAGGCACTGGAAGGTCGCTCTAAGGTCCCACCGGAGCATCCTCTTCTACAGACTGAACAGCCCCAACTCCCCCAGCCTGTCCTCACAGCAGAGCTGCTCCAGCCCTCCCAGCATTGCTGTGGCTCTCTGCTGAACACACTCCAACAGCTCCATGTCCTTCTTGTGCTGGGGGCTGCAGAGCTGGATGCAGACTCCCGGTGAGGTCTCACCAGGGCAGAAACATTTCACCCATTGTAAGAAACAGTGTGCAGAAACTTTCTTCTGTTGGCCTTGTTAAGGTGATGGATGAGACTGCCTCACAGGAGGAGGATATTGCAGACTGAAAGAAAGCAGTGGCTGATAAAAAGGGACCTGTTAATGTGGCTCAAAAACTCTTGGAAGCAAGAAACCTTCGCCCCAGTGTGGAACTGTGCTATGACAGTGCATCACAGGCTGATCAGTGAAGTTCAGGAGATGAAAAAAAATATTCAAAGGCAAGTGGAAATCAAGAAAGAGGGGAAAATCTGTGGTATAGATTACTGGGTTAATGGTGGGGACACTTTAAGGGAAGCTGCATGGATACTATCTCTTTGGGGATCCCATTCCATCTTTTTTTTTGGCTCAGAATTCTTAGCCTACATGGTAAAAAACCTATCCATCCATTTTCAATTAATGTGTCTCTGTATATTCCCTGTTAGATTAAAGGACACGCTGGCTCAGGCTGAGACAGCAATGTGAGCTCTGAGCAGATGACAGCTTTCCTTGGAGGAGGAGATCCAGGTCAAGGAGAATACATTGTACATTGATGAAGTGCTCTGCATGCAAATGAGATAGTCTGTTTACATTAACAACTTCTGAAGCCATCATACTGGGAGATGGTGTGCTGCAAGAAGCCAGCTCCTGCTGAGATTTTGTTAACAAATCTCCAGATTTATTGCTTTGGCTCAGTACTGTCCTGGTAATTTGTGCAAGTTGTGCAAGGTAATTTAAACAGATGTAGTATGTAGACCTCTCTTTTTCACAGCTATCTATGCTCTAGAATGCCTGATGATATCTACATGGCAATAAAATTCCAGAATAAGAAGAAATGTCCCTTCTTCCATGTTGTGTGCAACCAATGATATCTATTGCCACTGAAAGGTCTAGAAGCTGTGGAAGCTAAAGCAGGAGTCTCCTCGTAAGTAGTTCCTTGGAAAGTTGGGCAAATGGGAAGGGTGAGTCTTGGGGCTAGCCATATTATGTTCTGTTCTTCTAACTAGGCACAGGGTGTAGATCAATGTTAACAGGAGGTAGGGACTGGTGATACATCTGATTGCATCTGAGTCAAGATCAAGCCAAGGCTGACTTGGCTAATCCCTAATCACTTCCTCACCCCATGTCTCAGTTTAAAATGAACAACAACGAGATGAGCTTCGCTGGTAATGTGTCTGAAACTCTGCAAAGAGAAGTGCTGAAGAAAGAGGATGGGCTATTTTTTTTTTTAAAAAAGTAGGGATGCCTGTAAGGGTGGAAAAGGGCTCACTGCTTCCTTTGGTTCTGATGAAGAAAACCAAAGCAAGGGTAAGAATAAATGATGCCAGAGACACAGGAGGGCAGTTCCCAAGTCCAGCATTTTAATGCATGGAATGTAATAATTGTCCTTTGCCTCTCTCTTGCTATAATGGTATCTCCCTTTCTGAGGCACTGCTGTTAAGATTCAACTCCCATACTAATACCACCCCAAAGGTTCCATTCATTGCTTGCAGAGGTCACTGGGTGTCCTCTTCCTGTGTGGTTTAGTCCATTGGGTAGGTGATGACAAAATAATTAATCTCTGAGTCAATCAGGTCTTTGAACTTCCTGTAAATACCATACAACAGTTGATCCTCCTTACTGGTGTCTTCTTGGTTTGTGTAAATCCTGACCTGTATGAATGAACGACAGACACGTGGAGGAGGCTCAGCCCATTAAAGCTCGTGCCAAGAAGCCTCTGTGCCTGTGGAGGAATCTAGAGAAGGCAAACGGACTGAAAATGTCATCTCCTGACAAAGGATTTCTGGGAAGAGTAAGGTTCCTTATACCCCAAGATATGATGCATCAGATGTGATGGGTCTGCACAGATCTGTGAGGATGTACTGGATTCAGAATCTAGCATGTAAAGTAGCATGACAGCATGGTTTACACCAGCTACAGTTGTGGTTTGGCCCCAGTTCAGCACAGCATCCCTAAAGAGCGAGATGGGTTTATATCTTTTTGCAGTTCAGTGGGATTCAACCCACCTGCCTCAGTTTTAGCACAGACATAAGCACTGGGCTTGGGAGGTGACTGAGAATCTCTAGCTTGAGCTAGAGGTGACAGAGGGAATGGCAGTCTAGGAAGGTCTTGTGGAACTGAACTTCTATATTATTCTGTACATGGCTAAGTAGGTTAGAAAGCCCCATTTCTGTGAGTTGTTCCAGGCTCATTATAATGCTAAAACATAACATAAGGAAGGTAGTTATGTTAATGTTTCTGTAAGTGACCTTGCTGTGGGCATGGGGAACCTCACCTTTCTCTGGGTATTGGAGAGAGGAAGGGAATGGGAGTTTTGAAGAACAAAGTCTTACCTCTATGGTAGTCAAAATGCATTTTCTTTCTGTGCGGTTTTTTAGTAGCCGCTCTATAAAGGCGACACTTAGAAATGCCCAGACTTTCAGAAATAGCAACCTCTTGCATGATAAGATGAGCTGTAGCAACTCATCATCCAGCAGCTCATAGTCATTGTTTATTTCAAGTGTTAATTGCTGGAAAAAAATGAACACTGTTAGTACTACAGAACAAAGCATGGGTGCATTCAATATACCAGAGAATCCCAATTTTTAGCAAGAGAAATTACTGTCAGCAGATCAATTTTGTACCTTGACATTAGCAGAGACTCAGTTTTGTACTGCAAAAACAGCACATGCTACAGCAATGTCCACTCTCCCATTAAGATTGAGGGGGTCTCTTGTCTGTCTTTTAGGATGGTATGTGATGCACAACTTCTATTACTGTTAGAAGATGCTACACAGCTCATGCCATGATCTTATTTGACATATTGGAAAATATCGCAGATACAAGAGTAGATCCAAAGTCAATTTCTAGAAAGATTTACACGTCTCTGGTGTTTACTGGAAATTCTCCAATGCAACAGAACCTAGAGAAAGCTGCCAGGAACCATCGGGTAGTAAGGCTGTGTACTTCCCTCAGGCATGCAAAGATCTGATGCTTCTTTACATGGGTCAGCTGTTGCACACCTTTAGTGACACGTCCTTGGTAACACCAAAGTGCTTTGACACAAGCACCAGTTAATTTACATACACTGTAAGACATTTGTGCATTGCCAAAATGGAGCAAAACCACCAGTGTAGGTTAATGAAGGCTACAGCTCTGTAATCAAACAAGGTGTACAAACGATTGTTGTCATATGCAGATTTCCCTGGAAAAGGGTGGTGTTCAAAAATTCTGAAAGGATAAGAAAGTTATCAGTTACTAAACATTTAGTTATCTAACAGAATAAACCTAAAGCTTTCTTATAAAAAATGTCATTTTCCTGCCTGAAAGGTTCCTTTTGCTCACAGCTGACATGAGAACCACCAGCATTTCAGGTGTTTTAGCTTTTTATGAGGGCAACCTGATATCAGACTGACAACGATTAGCATAATGGGGATTGTAACTGGACAAAGATAACTACCTAAACTAGACCATAGCTGGAACACTGGAATGGCTCACTTAGGAAAATGACTCTCTGAACATAAAACTGATCAGGAATTCCTAATGATGACTGCTGCTATGCTGAAGGCAGCAATTACTTTGCTTATATTTGTAATACTGCAGTAAGATGTCATTATTGTTTCCCTTACCTGCAGAATATGCCAGTAGGCTGGGAGGAGGTTAGTGAGGGTAGGTCTCATTGTCCAGTCTGGGTCACTGAAATTGCAGCTCCGTAGACTGATGCTCCTGACTGGGATCCCCATGAGCAGGATTCTGGCTAGGTGATCATGCTTCATGACTCTTTCAAAGAAGAAGTTCACATTCAGTTTTGGGGCCTTCTTGGCCAAGTTTGCCCATGACATTCCCGAGACCACTTGCCCATGAAGGTCATGGATATGACATTTGATATTCAAGGTGTGCAGGGAATGAGCACTGTGCTCCTGCAGGACGTCCAACAGTTCATCAGAGATGCAGTGATAATTGAAAGTCAGGATGACCAGGCTGTGGAACTTGGACATCGTTTGGTGGAACAAGGTGCTGCTGTAGAGAGGAAGGTGGAAACTGAAGAAATCCTCAATATTGATTTTAGATATAAAGCTTTTATTTTTCAGGCAGCTCAGAGAATTCAGAAGCTCACAGCCTTCTTCCAAGGTTACCCTTGCCCCTTTTAAGTTGAGATAATCAAGGTGTTTGCTCATTCTTTTCAAGAAGGTAGCCAAGTTCTTGATAAACTGAGCCTTGACCACACCTTGCCAGAGCGAGCAGTCTAATTCCAGGTACTCGATGCTCAGGGATAGTAGGCGACTGTTACCCAGATGTGAAAGAAGCTCTTCCATAGTCACTTGAAATCTCTGGGTAAAGGCAGCATCGCAAGTATTTGATAACTTGATCTCAAGGTGCTCCAAATACTTGCCAAATTTCTTGACGTACCGCAGTGCACTCTGAAACTCCAATGTGCGTGCCTTTGATGGCCGGCCATAGAATGTGATGGTTCTGCTTCTCCACAGAGAGCCAGAGCACATGACTTTACTCCACTTTATACAGACCAAGGCAGCCCGAGATCTGTCACTGTCATCTAACCAATGGAAGATGCGCCTCAGACAGACATCAGGCAGATGAGCCCAGCAGCTCAGCTGAGGTTTGCTGTCATCTTCCATTGAGAAGAGAGTTTTTCACTTCACTTCTGGGTCTTGAGCCAAACCTGGATGAAGAAAGCTGTGAGTAGATTTCTTGCCATTCCCACAAGCACAGGCTTCCAAGCAAATGGATGAAAATTTGCTTCTTCCCATTCAAAACCAAAAGCCCTTGCTTTGCCTCTGTACTCAAGCTGTCAGGGTCAAAGGTCTTTGGTCTAAACTATAGTCTAACCTAAATCAAAAGAAAAAATGAGTGAAGAATAGTCACAGTACAAGAACAGGACACATCTTTTAACTTTTTTGCCTTCCGTCTAGCTAAAAAGTGAAATGCTATTCACTGCTGATAGAGCAGCCATAGCCTTTAGAAACCTTTGTTTAGCATCAGCTGTAATAGAAAATGTTTTGTGGCCTGATGCCCCGTGTCTAAAAGTATCCAGTGCTTTGGGCTGTACACATTTGAACAGTGCTGTTGGTGCAAAACTAGTGCAAATGACTTAGCCTTCTGGAGTACTGTTCCACGATAATCATCTGAGGTAGTACCGTGCCATAGATGAAGTTCCCTGTTGAGAGTAATAAGCAATATAAACTGTTCCATCACTCTGTTCAAGCAGGATGTTCAACCATTGTACTCCAATGGGCAGGGAAAAGGCTGGCAAGTCAGAAGACCAACTGGGTAGTAGTAAAACACATGAAGTAAACAACCACAATACAAGAAGTTACCAGTTCCACTCTCAAGGCTGGACTGTGTAAATATTTAGCTCCCTGTGCACCTTTCCAGCCCTCATAGTCTCCTTCCAGAGTTCAAGATTTGTTTACCTCCGATACCCTCCCTCCACAAATTCAGCTGTTGCTATGGAGTGAAGAGGTAACATTTGTGATGTCATGACAACAGAATTTATGCAAGGGCAAACTGAACAAAGCTGACTAGAACCAAGTCATTTGGGCTAAGGTACAGACAATGAAAAAGAAAAGCAGACTTGCTTGGGAGCCCCTTAGGAAATGAGAAATGAAGGCCACAGTGTACAAGCCAGCTGCAGCCTGTGTGCCTTGTCTCTTTTCACCAAGCAGATCAATAGATCAAGTGGCTGAGCAATGAACATCCAAGAAGGGAAGTGCATCCACTGTCTTTTCAGCTATGAATTGCAAACATCAGCTGTGAAATGCAAACCACATCCTCTGGCCTATTAGCTGCTTTTTTTTTTTTTTTTTTTCTTCATGAGGCCTTTTACAGATCAGCCTATTAGTTTGCAAACAGCAGAGGAGGAAGGAAAGAAAGGGGTTTGTTAGTAACTTTGTAGAGAGGTGTTGCAGTGTGCCTCCTGGAGACAGAGGTTTCTGTTGCCTCTTTGTCCCCAGACGTGGGCACACATCCAGAATTTTCCATCTTTCCCAGGTTGTGGTTGGCTTAGCCACCACAAGA